CGTTTACCACAACTTTTTATCCATTACGAAGAATAACTGGCAACGTTCTAAGAGATATGTAGTTCATCACGTGATTTGAATGAAATTAGATGGTTCGTCGTGTGAGAATTTTCTAATATCGTATCTTTTTCTATGAAGTCTTTAAAAATCGTTTCATTTTGATGTCTTTTTTTGTGAAGCAAACGATTGTGGGTATCTTTACAGCCGTCAATCCCATAAATTCTTGTGTTCCTGCATTCTTTTGACGAATGGTTAGAATTCAAACATCTGAAGCAGAGTTTATTTTTCTTAGCTGTTTCCCATCTTTCTTTAACATTTTGATTTTGAATATATATATATATATATATATATATATATATATATATATATATATATATATATATATATATATATATATATATATATATATATATATATATATATGTATATATATATATATATATATATATACATATATATATATATATATATATATATATATATATATATATACAAAACTTTAAATCACGAAAATTATAAACATAGTTAAAAAAATTCATACAAGACAATACAAAAACATTAAAAACGTTTTTATAATAATTTAAAAACATTTTTCACATTGCACGTGGTATTCTATCTAATAATGATAATAAAAAATGTCTTGTCACAAAAAGAAACCTTACTAAAAAAAATCTCGATAATTTAAAAAATAAACTATTTGGAGAGTCCTGGAAAAATGTATACTCAGCTAAGGATCAAAATCAGGCATTTAATTTTTTTACTTTACGGCTACTTTTAAATGTATTCTTGATACTGTCTGTCCCATGGTAACATCTGAAGTAAAAAATAAAGAGTTAAAAAATCCATGGATGACGAGTAATCTTATAAAATCGTCTACAAGAAAGCAAAAACTTTATATAAAATTTTTGAAATCAAAGGATAAAGGTGATGAAAAAACATACAAAGCCTATAAACAATTTTTTCAAAAAAATATTAGTCAAGCTAAAATAATGTATTATTCTAATCTGCTAAATAAAAATAAATTAGATATAAAAAAAACATGGTCGATTATAAATGAAGTAACTGGCAGAGAAAAAAAGAAATTCATTAGCATACCTCAAAAAATATTTTGTGATAATAAATACATTACAAATAAATCAGATATTTACCATGAATTTAACAAACACTTTGTAAATCTTGGTCCCAGTCTAGCTTCAAAAATAGTGATGCCAAATAAGAAGTTTGATGAATTTATTGGAAAAAAAAACCCTATCGTGTATATCAAATGAAAAAATATCCTATAAAGAATTTAACAAAGCTCTGACTGAACTAAAGCGAAATAAGTCATGCGGATATGATGACAATACAATAATGTAGCAATGAAGTTAAACAAACTTTTATATGAAAATCAATTTGGTTTTCAAAAAAGATGCTCAACAGAATAGGCTATCATTGAACTTACTAATAAAATATTTCAATTTTTTGATAAAAGGGATCATGTATTGGGAGTATTTATAGACCTAACAAAGGCATTTGATACAGTTGGCCACAACATCTTACTATCAAAATTAAAACATTATGGTATCAAAGGACTAATGTATAAATGGGTACAAAGCTATCTGAATAACAGAAAGCAGTTTGTAATAAACAAAGACTCAAGTGTTCTTGATATTGATTGTGGGGCTCCTCAAGGCTCAATCTTAGGACCGTTATTGTTTTTAATTTACATCAATGATATGCATAAAGCATCATCTATAGTATCTTCAATAATGTATGCTGATGACACAACTTTATTTTATAATCATAGTAATTTAAAATCGATGTTCCAAACAATGAATACTGAACTGGAAAACTTTAATTTATGGTTTAGAGCGAATAAACTATCCTTAAACTGTGAAAAAACCAACTACATCTTATTTCATAAAACAGGTCAATCAATATCTCTACCGTTAAAAATTCCAGAATTGCTCATTAACAACGTAACAATAAAACGGGAAAAATATGCAAAGTTTCTTGGTGTTCATATTCATGAAAATTTATCATGGAGAAATCATATTGGACAAATTGAAAAAAAAATCATCTGCAATAGGTATTTTATATAAATGTCGCCCGTTTCTTGATTTCTGTTCAAGAAAAAAACTTTATTTTAGTCTAATTCACAGTCATCTTACATATGCTAATATAGTGTGGGCTAATACACACAAAACAAAATTAATCAAACTACAAGGCTTGCAAAACCATGCTTGTAAATCAATTCATTATCTAGGTAGAATGGACAATCTTTAGATTAGATTAGATTAGATTAAAATTTATTAGAACAGTGATACATGTTCTAAAGGACACGCAGGTCCATAAAATATGAAGGACTTTGACAACGTGCCCTACAATCACATAATACAAATGCTAGATAATTTAAAATATATATTACAATTATATATAAGACCATAGTTATAAAACAAAAACCAGTTAGCCGGAACAGTATTTTTCAAAGTCAATAGAGTTAATTTTAATTTTGAAGCTCTTTATATTTTTGGCATTCACGACGTCAGACGGCAAGTTATTCCAAATATTAACAACCCTGAGTGAGAAAGAGTGTTTACGAACATCGAGTTTACATTTTAGTTTGCGTAATTTAAAATTAAGGTATATATATATATATATATATATATATATATATATATATATATATATATATATATATATATATATATATATATATATATGTATATAACAGTAGAAATAATAATTACAAAGCTAATTACAAAAATTATTTCTAATTTTACTTAATTAACTTTTTATATAGACATAGATATACGCCAAACGGCGCTATTAAGAAATAATAATTACAATTACGACGATATTCCATTTAATTCTTTTAATTTTTGATTTTTCAAGTTTTTCCATATTTTAGGACCCTGTGACATAATTGAAAAGTCAGAACCCCGGGTTTTAGTTTTTTTAATATAATAGTTATGGAAATAATAATTACAAAGCTAATTAAAAAAATTATTTCTAATTTTACTTTCTAATTTTTACTTTCTAATTTAACTTTTTATATAGACATAGATATATGGCGCTATTAAGGGAATCTGAGAAAAAATTTCTATTGGAGTTTTATACCCAAAAATGCTGAATCTTCTTTGATTTCCTTTTTTAGGAAATAAAGTATAGAAAAAAATAAACATATATATAATAGTTATTATACCAGAATTTATATTAAGTTTGCATCAATACTATATTAATGTATCAAAGTTATATTAATGTATTTTTATCAATCTGATACGTAATAATTTTATATATATTTTTTCTTTTTATCACGATAATAAATGTATATTTTATATGGTATACCTGGAGAAAAAAAAAAAAAAAAAAAAAAAACTTTGACGCGTTTAAATTTCGTAAAGTCCGTGTTTTTTTTTCAACAGCGACATTTAAAATATAAAACACCGGCTTCAGTAATCGAAACCAAATAAACAGTAATCAAAACGAGCGGGAGAATTCTGTCAGTAATTATTATTTAAAATTACAATGTTTTTCTCAGAAGAAAAAAAAGTTAAAAAGTGTCATCAATTGCTTGTATGAAACTCAAAAAAAAAACTTACTAAGGAAAAAAAAAAAGATTTTTTTTGTTTTAAAAGGATTTTTTACTTCTTAAAAACAATTAAATTTTTTTTCTTTTAAAACTGTTTTGCTTTGCTTCATATTGTTAATAAAAAGATAAAATCTATACAGTGAAAATTGTTGTATGCAATTTTCCTTGATACTAAAATAAAGTTGATTGATAGCAATGACATAAAAGTGCCTGTTTCTAAAATTTTATTCAAACTCTATTGTAAAATTCAAACAAAAGATAGTGATACATCATTATAGTATAATTTATATTATTTTTTTAGTGTGAAATATATTGATTGACATCTTGGGTACCACCATTATTGTTTTTATGCAGTTTTGTTGTGTACTGTAAAACGGGGTTACTTGGGACTGTTGTTATAATAACAACCAAATTACACTGTTATTTGGTACAAATTGAGTAATTTAGTTTGTTAGGTTAGCATTACCTCACATCCCATATTCCACAGTTGATTCATGCTTGAGCTTTTACAAACATTATTATGAGATAGAGTTAGATGAAAGTTTATAATCAGTGTTTTTCTTTGGTTTTTACTTGGGATATATTTGAATTGACTTCAAAATTATGTTTGTTTTTTATAATAAGTTTGTTTTATCATTTTTCATCCATCCTATTCCATTCTTTGCATGATGTTAAGTGTTACAAACCTAATATTTATAACATAATAGGTACTTTCATTTGATTTAGGTTTATTCCAAAAAAGAAAATGGTTGCAAATATAAACAAAAAGTTAAAAATTGTTCATATGCTGGTTACACTAATAAATTTAAAAATTATTGAAACATGAATGTAATCAATCTAAAAGATTATGAATTTAATTAATTTCTAATCCAACTATTTAATAAAGTCTAAAATTAATTCCATTAAAATGTATCAAGGGTTATATTATTATTTTTTCAATAAATATTCACCAAAAAAGGTTCTTTCCATTGTATTTTCAATTTTTATATTGACATGCATAGTTTTTTAAAAAAATTCTGATTGAACCAAGTAAACCCAAAGGGGTTGCTTGAACTTGGTTAGTTGAACTAAGCAAGTTCAAGTAACACCTTGCAGTGAGGTTACTTAGGACAAGTACTTTAAATTTTTTTCCTTTTTATAAATAATCTAAATAACAAGAATAAAAACTCAGTGGTTAAGTACATATGCAGACCCATATTTTGACATTTTTTGTTCGAAATAATACCTTTTTTGCTAAGCCTTACATTTGTTCCAAGTTAAAAATTGTGCCAAGTAACCCTATATGGTATTGCTATGCAAAAAATATAAATAAATTTATTACTGCTTTTTATAGTGAAACTTAGACAATGCTCACTTTACCATTCTATAAAAATTGTTTACTAGAAAGCTATCAATAATATATAGTAATTTTGTGAATTATTTATATTTAGAAAAATGAATTTTAGCAGTAGAAATAGACGCAGTATTCGAATTACGGCTAAAACAGAGAATTTTGAAAAATATAATCGTTTACTATTTTATACAACTCCACCAAATGAAGAAATTGCATTAGAAGAGTTTGAAAGATTTGCAATTGACAGATTAAAAGGTAAGCATTACTTGCTGTTCTATATATATATATATATATATATATATATATATATATATATATATATATATATATATATATATATATATATATATATATATATATATATATATATATATATATATATATATATATATGTATATATATATTTATATATATATATTAGTAATGGCACTTATCTAATTTTTTTTTTCTTTCTTCTACAAATTGTTTCACCATCAGTAGAACTCATAACATCTTGTGAAAGTTTCTAATACAAACTGCTTTACTGACTTGCAGAAATCTGACCTAAATGTTGATGCAATTTTTTTACCTTGTTTTCCGTGTAATTTAAGTTAAGTGGCATTTACAGTTTTGCCCTCTTTTTATTCTAATCTATTCCTTAGATTAACAGCTTTCATAAAAAAATAGCTAAAAGTTTAATTTACAGTCTGTATAGGCAAATATTTGATATAGTTGTTGCACATGTAACGTAAGTAAAAATGGAATTGCCCATATAGTAATCGTTTTAAATAATATATAGTAATCGTTCGCGGCGATATAAGTTAAATAGGAGAAAAACAACTTTTTTGTTGCTATAAGTCCTTATTTTACCATTTTGTGCATTTTTAGGCTCTTAGTAATTTTTAGGCTCTTAGTAATTTTTGTTCTAAAATTATATTTTATTTTAAATTATGATAAATTATCATTATCACGTTACAATTGCTACTTTAGATAAACAGATCACTAAAACAATTAATTAAAAAAAAAAAAGAGTATGGATATTAGTACAGCCAACCCATTCAAAAATTATATGCACTGTCAGCAATTATAAAGCAGTGCAAAAAGAAGTAAAAAGAGTATTAAAAAAATGTGTATTATGAAAAATATATTGTACATGATAAATCAAATAAAAAGCGATTGTATGGTTATATGAAACTGAAGCTAACAGCATCTAAGTCAATAAGCAATATGACTAATGCCAATGGCTCAGTATCAAACTCTGGAACAGACATTAGCAACATTCTTAATGATTATTTTAAATCTGTATTTGTAGAGGAATCAAATGAAGTACTGACGCTACATTTTGAGAATTGTTTATTTTAAGGATTCCAACTCTGTCCATTAAAGATATTAGTAAACTTCTATTCAACTTAAACATTAACAAAGCTCCAGGGGTTGATGGAGTTCACCCTTGGGCACTAAAAGCATGTCACTTAGAATTTTCCAAGCCACTTTTTATGATATTCTCAAGCTCTTTACATGAAGGAGTTCTCCCTAACATGTTGAAAATAACCAATGTGAGACTGTTATATAAGAGTAGTAATCATAGTAACCCGGCAAACTATTACCCAGTTTTCTTGACTTCACCTTGGTTTTGGAGTGAATCATAAAAGACACAGTTATGAATCATCTCTACTTAAACAAACATAGTCAAGTTATGAATCATCTCTACTTAAACAAACATAGTCAAACAACAACACAGATTTGTTTGCAATAAAGATTGTGTTACTAACATATTGGAAACATTAGATAAAGTCTGACAATACTCTTGAAAAAACACTAGGTTGATGTAGTTTTTTTAGATTTTGCCTAGGCATTTGACAAAGTGCCACATCTATGACTTTTCCAAAACTACAAGCATATGGTATAAATGGAAAATTATTAAAGTGGTATAAATGGTATAAATGGAAAATTATTAAACTTTCTAGAAAACCAGAATGAAGTGTGCTTGGACCACTGTTGTTTATAATCTATATAAACGATCTTCCAAATATCTTAAATTATTATTCATTTCAGCTATATGCTGATTACAGTAAATTAATAGCCAGGATATCAAATATAAAAGATTTCCAAAAACTACAAAGAGATATAAATGTAATAGTAATTTAGACAGAAACTTGGTTCATGTAGCTGAATGTTGATAAATGTAAAGTTATGCATTTTGACTATGGTAGCCCTAAATTTATTTACAATATATCCATTGGAACAATTAGTCATTCCTTAGTATCAACAGACTCTGAATGTGATATCGAAGTGGTATACTGAACCAGAAACTATTGCTCAACACAAAAAGGACAATCGTAAACGCCTACATCGTAAAATTACTGTTAATCACTGAATTAATTTGTACGATTCGACAGTGTTTCAGAAAAGTGTTGGAAGTTTTAAAACACTTTTGACAGAAAGAACAATCAAACTAAGATATAATAATTAACAATGACCAGCACTAAGCCCCTGATCTGTATATAGAACCTCCTGGAACAGAACATGTACTCATGTTCTGTTCCAGAAGGTTCACTTCTAGCAGTATCATAATAATAATAATAATAATAATAATAATAATAATAATAATAATAATAATAATAATAATAATAATAATAAAAATAATAATAAATCACTTTAAAATTATCTATTCAAAGATTTTACCTAGCACTTTTTTAGAATATTATTATTTATTTTAAGTTTTTTTAGGCTTTTTTCATCATTTTAAATTACATACTAATTTACAATTTATAAGTATATAAATTGAGTGATTTTAGCTAGTGCTTTTTAAAATGATTATTATTTATTTATTTTTAAAAAAAATTGTTGAATTTACTATTTATTAATATATAAAAATTATTATACTATTAATATATAAAAATTATATTACTGATATTATAAGGATTGCAAAATACAGCCCTAAGAATAAGGGTTGGCATTCAGCAATGCCGACCTAACTGCCGACCTAGAAATGTTTAAGATTGGCAAAAAATATATATATATATATTATATATATATATATATATATATATATATATATATATATATATATATATATATATATATATATATATATATATATATATATATATATATATGTATGTATATATATGTATATATATATGTATATATATATATATATGTATATATATATATATATATATGTATATATATATATATATATATATATATATATATATATATATATATATATATATATATATATATATATTATAATAATTTTATTTGATAAATGTGCTATTTAAAAAAAAAAATAATACTGAGTAAACAATGTAAGCATAAAAAATTGCCTTTTTTTAAAAAAAAATCACTCTTAGGGAAGCTAAAAATTATTTGTGTGTATCTTCAATATTCCAACCTTCAGAAAGTTTTTTAATTTAATTTCTTCTGATTTTGAAGAAGTATCAAACTTTATTTAAACTAGTTACATTTTTTGGAGTTTATTCTAATTGAAGTTCTTGTTTACTTTTGCAACTCTTCTGTTTCTGGTTCACTAATTTTATTAAATCTAAAGAACTCCTCAAACAGTTATTATTTTCTTTTTCTTATTTTTTCTTTTTCTTTTTTTCTTGATCTTGTTCACTTGCTTTTTTCCTTGCCCATCAATTCTTCGGAACTCTCTATTGTCTTCATGTTTTCCATTCCTATACATTATACAGTCTTTTGTTTTCTGTTAACCGTTTTCTTGCTCTTTAACAATATTTTTTGTTTTCCTGTAACCCCTAACATAAATAATGATTACTTGCAGATTTGAAAAAGTAAATTAGTTTATTAGCATTATGAATTTAAAATATTGATATTTTTATAACCGTTATTACTTAACTCTTTTTATGCAGACCTGTAGCTAAACAGTTAATTGTAAGTATAATAAAAAATTGTAATAAGAAACTGTTATTAAGTATTTAAAAAAATTATCAAGAAATTGATAATTTTTTTAAAATTAATTAGAAGTTAATTAGTTAAAAAGTTAAAAAGATAATAAGTAGTTGGTATTTAAATAAAATTGCTTACTATGTATCAGCACTAAACATATAAACTGGTAACTCTATTCATTTTTTTCCCGTATAATACTTTACCAAATTGACCATTCCTATACTTGTCTATTCTGCACCAATCATTTCTATATTTCTTATTCCTTATTTACTTCAGTATTTTTTAAGTAAATGGTAGAAAAATAATTCATTCTAAAAAAATACTTTAAGAGCAAAAAAAAGTTACAATGTGCACCTTTTCCGCTTACCTAGAACTTGTAAAAGATTTGTATAATGGTTTTTTTTTTTCTAAACACATATCTTTGATAGCTCAGTGATTAACTGCACTGTCATCAGTGTTGTTTCAGAGGGTTCAAATCCTCCCCTAATCAAAATTAAGGAGATGTTGCTGCAATATATTTTTCAAGTAAAAGTAAACCTTTATATATGTTATAACATTACATAATTCAGATATTTGCATACACTTTTGTTCACATTTTCTTATACAAAAAAGTGCTGCAACTTTTTCTTGCCATTACCTCAGTTGCAATGGCTGCCAAGTGTTTCGTGTTAAATATTAAGTTCTATTAAGTTCAGCATTATTATATAGACAAGGGCTATAGACCGTTTCCGACAGCACCGACTGTATTTGGGCGCCGATTTGGGCACCCCTCAAATTAAAATTTGAGGACCTTTTTTTTTTTTTTAAGTTTTTTACAGCAAATATTGTTATTTTTGCAAAAAAAACGCTGATTTTCCGCTAAAGTTTCGCCTAAACGAAGGGGTACTGCCGCACAAATTTTTTCCTAGAATAGGCCCTGATAAATGTCATTGTTTCAACCATTGGTCTTAAATAAGAAGAAATTTTTTTTTTAGTTTTGAGAGAATAGAAAATGTTAATATCAGAAGAAATTTTTTTTTAGATTTTAGGGAAGTAGAAAATGTTAACAACAGAAGAAATTTTTTTTTAATTTCGAGAAAAGTAGAAAATGTTAACATTAGAAGAAATTTTTTTTTAGTTTTGAGAGAAGTAGAAAATGTTAACATCAGATTTAAACGTGGAACTGCAGATTATGAAGAAAAAATGAGAAAAATTTTGAAGGACTTTATGCCTCACTATTTTGATGTAAGTTTTTTTTTTCTTTTGCCTAAATTTTATTAAAATTTACAAAAAATATATAGTTACATTTTTTTTTATATTAATAAGTATGGTTGTTTTTTTTTATATTAATAAGTATATTAATAATTATGGTTGATTTGTTAAGTATAATAACCAAATGATTTTTCTACGCAATTGATAGAAATAGGCAACAGTTGTTATTCTTTTTTTTATTGTTTTTTTACGTCTGGCATGCTGGTGTGCTCTCCAAATCTCTAATCACAGTTATTTTTGATGGATAAGATTTTTATCTATTTTTTCAGTAACCTAAGGGATACCACAAATTTCAATCCTAGGTATCATATTGTTTCTTAACTACATTAACAATGTAGTTAAGAAACAATATATATATATATATATATATATATATATATATATATATATATATATATATATATATATATATATATATATATATATATATATATATATATATATATATATATATATATATATATATATATATATATATATATATATATATATATATATATATATATATATATATATTAGGGTGATTCAGATTGTAATAGAAAAAAAAATGTCACAAAAAACATTCTCCTCAAGGTTGCCTGTGTTCCTTTATCACCTAGGATCATGTGTACCAAAAATTATACTAAAAGAAGCAATTTTAGGGGTTGCCATGTTTTATAAGATGAATTAACCATTGGTAAAATTTTGTGATTTTCTCAAATTTCGCAAATTTGTTTTTTCATTGTTTATTTATTTATAATTTAGAAATTGATAATATGGCAACCACTAGATCTTCTGCTGAGATCTAGTGGTTGGATGATGATGTATATCAGACTCCTTCCGCTTCCAGCACACTGAGCACAAGTGGTTCAACGAAAAAGAAGATAAAAGTTCTAACAAATAATGTTGTATCATCTCTTGATCGTGTTAATATTTCTGATCGCCGTGCACTCTTCGTGGTTGGAACAGTGTCTCAGGCTCTTGGTCACTCGGTAAAAGATTTATCATTGTCGTACAGCACAATCCGCAGAAAAAGGCGATCTGTTCGTGAAGCGGTGACTACAGCTGACAAGGTTGATTTCTCTCCTGATGATCCACTTCTTCTGCATTGGGATGGAAAGCTCTTACCTGATATCACTGGTGGTCAAAAAAAAGTGGATAGAATTGCCATCCTTGTGACTGGTGGTGGGGTGGAAAAATTGCTGGGCGTTCCAAAGATTGATCGAGGTACAGGTGAGCAACAGGCTGATGCTTGCATGAAGGCTCTTAAAGAATGGAAATTGAAAGAACTTGTTCGGGGACTGGTTTTTGACACTACTTCATCTAACACTGGGTTGAACATTGGTGCCTGCACAATAATGGAGCAGAATCTTGACCGTAATCTTATATGGATAGCATGCAGGCACCATATGTTTGAAGTCATGCTTTCCACCATTTTCACGACTGCATTTGGAACCAGTGGAGAACCTGAAGTTGGAATTTTTAACCGTTTCCAGAAACAATGGCCAGCAATCAACAAGGAGGTGTTCACTATAGGGAATAAAGAATTTTACAACTGCGATTTTTTTCTCAAACTCCGTGAAGAAATGGTAGTATATTATAGTGAAGCAATTAAAGGTCAACAACCCAGGGATGATTACTTAGAACTCTTGAATTTGTGCCTTATTTTTCTTGGAGGATCAACTACAACATCGGAGTTCAAAGTGAACTTTCGGGCTCCAGGTGCAACACACAATGCACGTTGGATGGCAAAAGCTATATATTGTATAAAGATATATTTGTTTCAGGATCAATTTGTTATTACTGCAAAGGAAAAGAAAGGAATAACAGATATAAGTCTTTTTGTGGCATTTGTATACGGACAGTTTTGGAATGAAGCTCCGTTAGCTGAACGAGCACCATTCAATGATGCCAAGCTTCTTCAACAGATTCAAGAATATCCAAATCGTACAATTGCAATTAATGCAGCAAAAGCTTTTCATCGCCACCTCTGGTATTTTTCTGAACATCTAATAGGATTGGCTTTCTTCGATTCCCGTGTCGACAACAACACCAAGAGAGACATGGCAAACAACCTGAAACAACAGCCAAGGCAGAAATCTCTCAAAAGACTTGATGCTGCCACATTCGATTGTCACAGCCCATTGCCTTCCTTCGTCACACAACGCACCGCAGAACTTTTCGATCTAATTTTGAAAAATGGAAAAGAAAAAGCTGAATCATTTTTAATGAAAGAATCTTCAGAGTGGGAAATGGATTCAACATATCTTGAAATGAAGCACAAGGTTGGTCAAATGAAAGTCGTCAACGATTGCGCGGAACGAGGCATAGCACTTATAACATCCTTTAACTCAAGCGTTACGAAAGATGAAAACCAAAAGCAGTTTCTTCTTAGATTGGTTGATCTTCACCGGAAGGAATTTCCAGTTGCATCAAAGTCTACCCTGATGAAGATGACTGTTGAATGATGAAGATGATTGATTTATTATTGCCTAGTGCAATTACATAGTAGTACTATAGTATTGATTTTTTTAACATTGAACATCCACAATCCACCATATAATAATAAGAAATTGATAATAAATAATTCAGTAATATAATATAAAAAATGTAAAAATAAAAAATATTTTTTTTACTTTTTGTAACCTTATACCAAAATGTGACAAAACATGGCAACCCCTAAATATCATCCGATTTGATTCAAATTTTGGCCAATAACTACTATTGTCATATAGAACAAGGGCAAGCTTGAGGACAACTAAAGTTTTGAACCTACAAATTTTGCATCACCCTAATATATATATATATATATATATATATATATATATATATATATATATATATATATATATATATATATATATATATATATATATATATATATATATATATATATATATATATATATATATATATATATATATATATGGATATATATATATATGTATATATATATATATACATATATATATATATATATATATATATATATATATATATATATATATATATATATATATATATATATATATATATAAATATATATATATATATATATATATATATAAATATATATATATATATAAATATATATATATATATATATATATATATATATATATATATATATATATATATATATATATATATATATATATATATATATATATATATATATATATATATATATACATATATATAGCAAGCAATTTATTTAAAACAATATGAAGGAAAAAGAAGCCAAGCAAAACAACAATATTCAAAAAATGAATCAATTTTTTTATATTAAAATACTACTAAGAAAATATTAAATAGTACTAGAGGCCTTTCAGTATTGATCATCAGTAGTATTATTGCAAATGTAACTATCATGATTTTGATTTATGTAAAAGGTTATATAATAGAAGTATTTAATAGCAGTTTTTGTAACTATGAGTTACCATTGTTATGTTATTATAAAAGGAAGTATTAGTTGAAGGTGTCATGTTTTTGTTTATGCAGATAATTTTCATAGGTCAATAAATTATTTTCATTTTTTAATTCGAGAAAAACATAAAGCTGAAAAAATGGCTCTGTAGTTGTTTTGTGTACTTTCTTGCAATCATATACATGATTGTCAAATCTATCTGTTGAATTGCCAGTTTTGCAACTGGAAATATGTCTATTTGTGCGGTTTCTTAAATTGTTTGTTTTTCCAGTATAAGTAGATAATCCATTACATGATAAGCATTTTAGATAATAAATGACATTTTTACTATTACATGTAATGTGACTTTTAATGTTCCAAATTGTGCCATTGGATGTCTCAAATTTATCTACTTCTTGTAAATATAATCGGCAGATTTTACATTGACTGTTTTTGCATTTGAATAATCCCATTTTTTTGACAGATGACGTAGAGTGAAATTTTGAGCGCGTAATTTGTTTAAGTAAGTTTGGTGGTTGTTTGTATGCTATTACTGGTTGAATATTTGAAAAAACTTTTTTTAATCTTTCATTATCAGATAAACTAAGTAAAAGGTTAGCTTCAGTTAAAATTGGTTGACAGTTTAAATTACTATAGAAGGTAGTCACCAAAGGAAAGACTTCTTTTGATTGTTTCATTGGCGCTGGCCCTTGTAACTTAGCAATATCTATATACTTTGGTAATATGTTAAAACCATCATCGACATATCTAAAATAAAACTGTTTAATAATTTTAACTTCTTCTTTTAAAAAATATTTTGGTAAAATTTTCGGAAAAAGCATTGTTTCTTCTAAAAAACCAATTGTAAGACAAGCATTGTCTGGTGCAAAATCTGTGCCCATGGCTGTTCCTGTAATCTGGCGAAACAATTGATCGTCAAAGTAGAAATTATTATTTTTAAGAATGAAAAAAGCTGAATCTATGATAAAATCAGTGGTAAATCTTTCGGCTATTAAATTTTTATGTTTTTCAACCCAAAATTTTAATACTTGTAAACCAAGATCATGTGGAATGCTTGTGTAGAGATTTACAATGTCACAAGTTAATATAACACTATCTGAATCCATTATTCTAGGAATTTTTCTTAAAAAATCCCAGTCATCTTTTACAAAAGTCTTTTGTTTCTTTACAATAGGAGATAGGATTATGTGAAGCAGTTGGCTTAGATGCGATGTTGGTGAATCTATACCAGCAATAATGGGCCGATCTTATATATATACTTAATATAACTCTATTTATCAAGGTTATATTAAGTATAAGAATATGCTTAAATTATTTTTTTAGAAAAAATTTTTTTCGAACAGAATCAAAATAATTTATTAAATTTAATTTAAATTTTTATAATTTTTATTTTAACTTTCAATTTGCAATCACTGCTTTGATGTTTGCAATAGAATGTTTCTACTTTTAAAACTATTTTCAAAAAATATATATATAATTCAAAACGTTAACAAAATTTACGATTTAAAAAAAAAAAATTCATCTTCATTCTTCCTTTTTTTATCAAACTTTTTTTAAATTTTAAATT